CCTTCCCCTCCAGCCTCCCCTCTACACCCTCCCCTCCCCTCCCGCTTCCCCTCTAAGCCCTCTGCCCTCCCCTCTACACTTTCTGCTCTCCCCTCCCATTTCCCCCACACCACTCACAACCCGACACACTCCATGCTACAGCTGTTCCCAGAACACAGGGAGGCAACAGCCCAGCAGGGCCTCCATCTTTCCCACTTCTGTATGTGACTTCCAACTGCAGATACCCCCATGTCCTTCCTGGCAACGTCCTTGGCCTGGAGGCAGCTTTGCCCCCTGCAGCAGGCAGAAGTGCTGGGGACCGACACCCCCAGGAACAGCCTCACCCAGAGTCTGAGGGGAGCTGGTGGTTAGATACCTAGGCCCCTTAGCTACCCGTCCTCATGGGGTTGTGTTCTGTACTGGCTCCCAGAGCGTCCCCAGGCATGAGGCTGCAGCCACCCACCCTGGGAGCTGCCGGATAACAGGCTCTTTGCGGCCAACCCTGCACTCTCCCAATGGGGTTTCCCTCACCACCCAAGAAACTGTCAGCATCAAACCTGTCTCAGGGCCTGCTTCTGGGGGAGGCCAACCCAAGCCTGGGTGATGTTCCTACAGACCCCCGTGTCCCTGCTAATGCCTGTGCCTGGGAAGAATGTGCCTCCGGCCCCAGTGCCGTCTCACCTGGTCGGTGAGGGCTGCGCATCCATGATCCACCTGGTTGGCGAGGGCTGTGTGTCCGCGACCCCCCTGGTGGGCGAGGGCTGCATGTCCACGAATCTCCTCAAGCCTCCCCTCTGCTGTGCAGCCCTTGGAGGCTTCACCCCGGGGAGACTACTGTGCTCTCAGCTGGGCCCTTGCAGCCTTGGGCACGTACCAGGGGCAGCGCTGTGTGATGTAAAACAGAGTGGGCTCTGGGAACGCAGTGGGGGTAGCATAGCATGAAGTAAAACAGTGCGGGCTCTGGAGACAGAACCAGGGTCCAGTTCTCACTGCACCATGCACTGGCTTGAATGAGTGTTGGCCTCAGTTTCCACATCCATAAAACGGAGGAGATGGATGTAGATGATACCAGCTTATATCGTGAAGATTAAATGCAAGAATGTCTGTCACAGAAGCTCTGAAATGGTGGCATTAGTTTCTGTGGGCATAACTCTGTTATCCCATTTATCCCATTGCACTAGCTATTTACCAGTAATCAGTTATGTGACACACATTTTTCATGTTTACTGTCTCTGGAATCAGGATGTGCCTCACCACCTATGAAACCATTTTTTTTTCCCCTTGGGGATAAGTAAGACAAGGATGCCCCTTACCTCTGACTGCGGCACCTTGGTGCCTGTGAGATGCACCTTCCCTCCAACCCACACCTTCCACATTGTCTCCTCATCACACGCGAAGCTGGCTGCTCCCACATGCACCCTGCTCCTGCTGACCATGCCGGCTCGGAAACTCAGAGGGCGAGTTCTCACTGGGATGGACTCTTACCTGGTAGGGCATCTGCTGCCAGCCCCTTCAAGTTGTTCGTGGAATTCAGTGCGTGTGGCTGGGGGGCTGGCTCCTGACCAGGGGTCCCCTCAGGTTCCAGAGGCCCCTGAATCCCTGGCTCATCTCCAGAGCCAGCAGCTGTGGATGCATTCTTGTCACACATGGAAGCTCTCTGCTCTCCCCTGTGCCTTCAGCCGCAGAAAGTCCTCTCCTTTTAGGGACTCACGTGATTACATTGGGCCCACCCAGCGAATCCAAGACCGTTTCCCGATTTTAAGGTGGGTCACCTAATCCCACCTGCACAGTCCATCTTGCCAAGTAACACAGCCTATTCGTAGGTTCCAGGGGTGTGGGCATGGACACCGCTGGGAGCCATTCTGCCGACCTCAGTGGACTAGTGTGCAGTGCAGGCCAGTCAAGGGCATGCATCTGACATGCTGCTCCCTGAGAGGGGCGACCTGGAAGGAACAGGGAGGCAGCACAGTAGACATCTTTGGCTCTTGCCGTGATCCCTACACAGAAGAATCCTTGCAACTCAGAGGCCAAAACCAGGCAGCATCAGGATGGGAGAGCAGGACAAATGCATGGTGTTGGGGGACCGTCTTACTGCGGCTGCCTCCATCGGGCCCCAGCCTGCACTTTGTCACACTGGCATTTTGGAGAGTGGGGTCATTTGACAGAGGCCCTTGGTTTGGGGGCAGTCTGGGAGGTCTCCCCACCTCCTGTCCTGAGACTGGGGAGCTAGAATCTTGTGCTGCCCCTGGAGGCAGCTGCCACGGGCTCTGGGCCACATGGAAGGCAGAAAGCCTGTACTGCCCTTTTCCTAACAGCGTGACTTCGTATAGGGCATGAGAACCTTTCGCTGATGTCTTCGTATTGTTTCAAAAGAGGGAGAAGTGTTAGTTTCCATCCCCGGTTTTGTTGACTACAGCCAGGATCCATTTTCAGAAGTCCAGGGTGGACCCGTGTTGGCAGAGTACCCTTTCTAGGCAGAGTTGCTGCTGATTGACTAAGACATGCCCTCGCCCTCCTGCCCTCTGAAGAGTAAGTGGTTGAGAGTCTATGCACAGGATGACTCATTTACAGTGGGTTTTCCCCAGTGTTTAGCTCACAGGCTTTTCACGGTCCGTAGGCTTGGTGTTTCTTCCACTTCTTTCCCTTAGAGCAGACTGTGTGTAAAAATGAAGCTGGAAATGGGGAGAAACTCCATCTGAGCAGCCACTGGGTTAGAATACTAGGGAAGGTTGACAGGGAGAGAACTCGTACCCTCACACAGTGGGGAAGTACTGAGGGAAGCTTAGAGGCCATGCAGGGCATGGGCAGCTCTGCACCTGTTCCCCAGGCACAGCTACCTGGAAGGCTTTCCAGAAGAAGCTAAGAGCATCCTCAGTGAACAGCCAGATGTTTTCCACCCATGCCTAGCACTGAGCAGCTAAAACTGCCCAGGACATTGGCCCCTGCAGGCAGTGGCAGGCTGCCCCCCAGACCCTTACCCAGGCCACAGTACTATGGAGAGTGTGGAGTCGGGTGAGTTTTACCACGAGGTATGCCAAGCACAGGTGGTCACTGACGGGTGGAGAGAGGTCACCAGTTGGAGAGGAGCAGCCCCGTCCGGGCGTGGAGGTCCCCAGAGCCACACACTTGCTCAGCCGAGCCAACTTCGGGTCACTATGTGAAGTGCCCTTCTCCCTGACCCCAGCGAGGTCCCTTCCTGGCACTCAAGAGAAGCCTCAGGGGAGCGGACCACGCGACAGCGGTAATCAGTACCTCAGGGAAGGCACCCTGGGCCCGTAGGTGCTGACCATTCATATATATGGATTTTGTATCATCAAAGCACAGGTCATCTTGGGTGAATCTCAGGGGAAGCATGAAGGGTGGAAAAAACAGTTCCAAAGGTTACACTGGATGACCTCCTTTCTGTAACATTCTTGAAATAACAAACCTACAGAAACAGAGAATGGATTAGTGGTTGTGAGGGGTGGGAGCTTGAGGTGCTCGTGGTCATGGAAGGCAACATCCTTGTGCTGATGGACACCTAGACCTATAATAATGGTAATAACGTTGCATAGGACATGCATTTGCCCTCTTTTCACAGGCACACTTGAGCACAGGAAACACTGGCAAGAGCTGGATAAACTAGGTTGATTGTATCAGTAGCAGTGTCCTGGTCATGTTACACTATCGTTTTGCAAGATGTTACCACTGCCGGAAGCGAAGTGAAGGGACCATGAATTCTTTCAGTGTTACAGTGTTACTTCTCACAACCACACGGGACTCCACGGTTTTCTAAAAAGAAAGTGCTCAACTAAGAAAAGGAAAACTATAATTAATCATAAGCAAATGTTGATGTTGAACATTATGTTTTTTCCTTTTTCCCTAGCATGCTTTTAGTCAGATCATGACGGTAGATATTGACTTAGCTTCCCTGATGAATACAGGTCAGGACCTGCACACAAGGGCTCCGACAGCAGGCAGCTCCTGTATAGTTAGAATATAAATAATGCTGCCTTTATGATTATTGATTGAGGAACTGTGATCAAATGGGGAATGTATGAGTTGGGCAATGAAGACGAGCTTGAAAAAGGTAGACATTAAATGTCTGCAATATTTCTTCAGGCTTGGTCTACACACATAAAAACCTAAGTAGAGGAATCCACTTCCTTCTAATGAATTTGTAGCCATCTCCTCAGCCAGGGTGGTTAATTCAGGCAGATTCTTTCTGCTTGAGTGGTCCAGGTAATCGCAGAAGTGAAACCTCACTTTGCCTCCATCCAGAAACCTTCAGCCGCTTCCCCCTTAATCGTTTCTTTGAAATGCTTAGTTTTCATTTCTCTTTTTCATCTGTTAGGTTCCACCTTGTTTTAAAGATACAGTCAATATAGGAGGCATGCCAAGCTATATTATCCACATTCAACACAATTATAATGAAAATAAACCAACTCTGGAAGACAGTTCCCAGAACTTAATTATCACGCAGAAAGTGAACACAACAGCCTTTTGTGATCATGATAATGAAATCACCACCACCTTAATACTTGACAGACTTGGCCATGCCTCTGTTGAATTTCTGCTGAATAAACTGGAAAAATATTGCAATTGGCTCTCCAAGGAAATTCATTGTTTCATACAACCACTATTTTTTTTCTGCAGAACAGGCGAGTGGGGTATCTAGAGATTGCAAGTACCTAGGAGTTTCCTTTGCTGGTAAAGATAGATTAGCACTCCCTTCTGTTTTTTCTCTTAGTTATTATTTTGTATTCCATTGAAGTATTAAATCTCTATTTTGGAGAAGAACTGCTAAGAATTTTAAAAATATGTTAATAGGCTGTTCCCCGATACAGGCTGCACACCTTCCTCAGGCACTTGACAAGCTTCACGAGCTCGTGTTTAGTTTAGATACTGAAGCAAACTAGCCCGTAAAATACGGTGCTGTAAATATAAACCTTTATGAACCTCTTGGGATCGTCCTTCTAAAATGTGAATTAAGATATTCCATGATTCAAGCCCATAAACTGAAAAGTAGCCATCGCCCTGCGTAGTAATTTGCCTTCTGAAACCCCAGACTGTAAATTGCCTTTGGCGTGTGCTCACTGAATTTTGAGTTTGTACGCATGATGCTAACTAAGGATGAAGTTTTCAAGAAGAGTTTTTAAGAGGAGCCTAAACTATTTTAGGTTATATGGTCTCTTGACATATCCTTCTTTGGCTTAGGGACTTTTTTTTATTTTCTTGTTTGAAGAGCCACCATATTTTACTGCTGAGCCTGAGAGTCGGATTTCAGCTGAAGTAGAAGAAACCGTGGACATCAGATGCCAAGCCATGGGTGAGTGCGGAGTGGCTGCTGGACAAGGAGCCATGACTGGGAGGAAGGCAAACAACCTTTTTCCACAGCAGAATTGCTGTCATTCTAGGGAGACACTGAGTGTGACGGCGAAGGCAGACCTCAGAGGGTAGATCGGTGTTGGGGCAGTGACCGCGGGTAAGGCATTGGACTTTGCCGAGCTTTTGCTTCCTCCCCTGCAAAAGAGAAATGATAATATTTACCCAGCAGAGCAAAAAGGAAGCCTCCATCCACCCCAGACAGAGAGGGGACTCCGTCATATCCTGTGCACTCCCCTTCCAAGGCCCTGACTCCACAAGAGTGTGACCCCCCCGAGACTCGGGGCAGAAAATTCTTTCTCATCCACGGGGTGACTGGGACTGGTGACCATATCCACTCTGTGGAAGGAGAGATGGGTGTCCATGTATTTGTAGTAGATATACGGGGTACAAGGCAATTTCGTTCCGTTGATGTATTGCACAGTGGTGAAGCCAGAGCTAGGAGTGCGTCCATTACTGGAGTGATGTCCCTTGTACCCGTTAAGTAATTTCCCATTGCCCACCCCACACCCTTTTGAGTCCCCATCGTCTGTCCTTCCACACGCTATGTCCATGTGCACATGTGACTTAGTGCCCACTTATTAGTGAGAACAGGCAGTCTTTATCTTTCTGTGTCTGAGTTCTCTCACGTAACTCAATGACCTCCAGTTCCATCCAGGTTGCTGCAAAAGACACCATTTTATTCTTTTTTGTGGCCATATAGTATTTGAATAGAAAATGTTGCTTTTTTTTTTTTTTTTGCCTTTTCAGCTCTGGGTCCACTTTTCCTTTGCTGTTCAGGTCATTCCAGCCTTCATCCCCATGCCTCAATTACGAGCCGCCCACTGTCACCATCTCATGTCAGGCAGCGCAGGCTGTTACACAAAACCTTCTAGCAGAGACAGGCTTGTCAAGGCAGTTTCGTTAACAAAATCTGTGTTCGTATTCTGGCAACTATCAAGAAATGAAGAGGATCACTTTTCTTTTGTTTGTACCCATCCGTCCTAAGGATGGAATTTTCCCTAAGAGCTTGGAGGGTAAGAAGGACTACCAGTTTTGTAAATCTTCAAAACAGCTCCTAGGAGAAAGACAATTATCTCACGGTACCACAGGAAAACCAAGCCCTAGAAAGCATGGTTAAGTAACGTGCCCAAGGCACTGGGCCACGAGCTGAAATGGGATCCTTCTCTTATGAAGTCATTGCCCAGCGTGTGGCCTGTGGGAGTTGCTCATTAAATGCTGGGTACATAACTTACCTAGGGCCACATGGTAATGGAGGCAGGACCCAAACGCAAATCTGTCAGCCACTAGAGCAGCCACCTGGCTCTTGCCAGAACACTGGCTTCGCCCAGGACCTGAAGCCCCGGACTTAGAACAAATGTCATGTGTCCCTACCGGCAACTATGTGGATGCCATTTCTTATTCCTGAAATTGGTATATCATCCTTCCAGTGCTGTGTCACCCTTCCAGTGCTGGTGGTGGAGGGAAAGATCAGCCTCTGCCAGAGACCCCCTCCCAACCCGCTGTGCTTTGTAACCACTGCTCCCCATCCGGGACTTGGCTGAATAGGAGTTCTGGTCCTCAGCTCCTGACCAGCTCACAGCGGCTGCTGTCCACGGCTCTGTTCTCTCTCTGTTCTTCTCTGTTCCAGCTCTACTGATGCAGCAAATGGGAGGAGGGGGAAGTGACAGAAGAGTAAGATGAATTTTACATGGAATTGTCTTTCTTACGGTGGTTGCATTGTTCTTTGTTGTGTAAGTGCCAACTTCTGAAGGCCAACAACTCTGTGAATGTGAAGCTATAAAATATTTAGAGAGCTTGTATTTCAGAAATAAGAGTATACGATACTGCGGGGGATAAGATTTCTGTTATGACATTAAATTGCCCCAAAATAGAAATACTCTCAGTTCCCTATGTGCTAACAATTATTTTTCAACAAATGACAATCTTAAACTCCCTTTGACAAGAGAAGGCTTTTTTTTTTTTTTGCATGACTTCTGCAGGGTAAAGTGCTTGTTAAGTGTAGACTTAGAAATATGGAGAGAACAGATCTTCTGACATTGCACTGCCGTCATATAATTTACTGCTTTCTTTTAATTTTGACAGTGAAACTATAGCAGCATGCGAAGTGGTTATTCCTTACGAAAGCGACATCGTGTAACTGCTATTATGAGATATTACATGAAATGGTTATGCTTTTACCTTGAAATGGATTTTTAAAAATTTCCTGACTTAATGAAAAGTGACAGGAAACATAATTAAGGCAAAGAAGAGAATCTGAGAAGACATTATCTTGAGATATTCCATGGCATTAACTTTATTTATTAAAGTCGACATCTCACACCTAGCCACGTGCCATCTTAAATCAAGGGGTTTTGGTGTGCTTTGCACTGAAGCATGTCAAGATAGGTTTTTTATTTAAATCCACTTTCTATTTAGGGAAACTGAGGTACAGAACCATCTGAGATCTAGAGCTAAGTCTCTAGATATGCCTCTGGAGCAAGTCAGCTTTTCCTGTATCCACAATGGAATACCTCTTGTGCCTCCTCAACCCTTAACAAGGTTACTTAACCTAATAAATTGCTCCTCTGAGATAGTAGAACTCCATGAAGGCCCGTGGTATCCAACCCTTTTGATAGGGGTTGTTTAAAAGATGGCACTTATTTTCATTGTTAGCTGTTGGGATGAATAGTGATACTGCCTTTGAGCACTCACCAGGTGCCAGGTGGAAGAGTTTTATAAATACATACGTAAATGTATACACACACACATGTATATGCGCCAACTCACACAGACACACATAGAAACACATGTATACACGTATATACAGGTACACACATATATACACAGATGTACACACATATACACACATGCACATGTATACACATACATATATACATAAACACATGCACATATATACACACGTAAACACATGTACACAATGCACATATATACACATGCACAAACTCACATGCACATACATATACATACACACGCATAGACACACAGACACATCCAATCTTCAATCTTCTGAAGTCATGATGATCATTCAGTTACCTGCATGTGAGGAAACAGAGACAAAGAAAGGGACAGGTAATGTACTCTGCCCAAGGTGACACTGTCCGCGAGGCACAGACCTGGGATGTGGCCTGTGTCCTCTCCTCTGCCCCTATGACCCTGTGCCCGAGCCCTCCCACAGTGGCTGAGTAGGGCACTGCAGAACAGAGAGGGCTTCATCTCCATCTGAACCTTAAGGTCAGTCTCAGCTGGTATCTCCTTCTTTCCAAACAAGAGCACGAGCCTGCGTGGGTTCAGAGTGGAGCCTGGAAGGCACCACAGCCGGGGTTGCCGGAATTCGTGCCAGCTATTCCTCTCAATGCCCCTCTGTGTCAATTGCTTCATGTACAACGAGAAAAATAGCTCCTTACAGGGTGTTTGAAAGCATGAATAGACAAGAAAATGCCTATTAAAATATTGCCATTCTAGCCTTTGCAACAGATGTGCCTCAGTCCTCACGTCAGGAATTATTTTTAAAATCCTATTTATTCTCATTCCTACGCAGGGGTCCCCCTTCCCACCCTCCAGTGGTACAAGGATGCCATCTCCATCAGCAGGCTCCAGAATCCTCGATACAAAGTGCTCGCCAGCGGAGGCCTGCGCATCCAGAAGCTGCGTCCAGAGGACTCCGGAATCTTCCAGTGCTTCGCCAGCAATGAAGGAGGGGAGATCCAGACCCACACCTACCTGGATGTAACCAGTGAGTTCCCCCAGGCCCACAGTTACCTGACCTGGACATATCCAGTGAGTACACCCAGACCCATGGCTACCCGGATGTAACCAGTGGGTACACCCAGGCCCACGGCTACCTGGGTATATCCAGGGGGTACGGCCAGGCCCACGGCTACCTGGGTATATCCAGGGGGTACACCCAGGCCCATGGCTACCTGGATTTAACCAGTAGGTACACCCAGGCCCACGGCTACCTGGACATATCCAGTGGGTACACCCAGACCCATGGCTACCCGGATGTAACCAGTGGGTACACCCAGGCCCACGGCTACCTGGGTATATCCAGGGGGTACGCCCGGGCCCACGGCTACCCGGATTTAACCAGTAGGTACACCCAGGCCCACGGCTACCTGGGTATATTCGGGGGTACGGCCAGGCCTACGGCTACCTGGGTATATCCAGGGGGTACGCCCAGGCCCACGGCTACCCGGATTTAACCAGTGGGTACACCCAGGCCCACGGCTACCTGGGTATATCCAGGGGGTACGCCCAGGCCCACGGCTACCCGGATTTAACCAGTGGGTACACCCAGGCCCACGGCTACCTGGGTATATCCAGGGGGTACGCCCAGGCCCACGGCTACCTCACCTATCGGCAAAGCCAGACCTGCTGGACTGGGCCTTCAAGGCAGAACTTCCCAAACTTTGCCCCGTATAACACACACAGAAAGTGGTAGTATCTGTTCAGCCCCCTGAGGTAAACGGAGAGGGTGATGTGGCCAGAAGTGGCCAGACCAGGAGAGCTAGCTCTCAAGCACACCTGAAGCCTTTGTGGGTCCTGTGGGGAAACTGCGTAGGCCCATTTGCTGCACAGATGCCCTGTCACTCCCCGCCCCTAGTGCCCTCCTCTTCTCCGGGCAGCCTTGCCTCTTCCTACACTAAGCCCTCCTCTTTCTTGAGGAGAAGTAGAAAAAAAATTCCCCTTATTTTCTGGACAGAATTGGAAGGACTATTGAGTGAATAGCTCACTCCTCATCTTTTTCTTTTTATCTTTTTTCTATTTTTTTTTTTTTTTACATTCATTCTCTATTTTACTTTCCTTGAACGATTATAGTTCTTTCATGAGTTTCTTTTATTATCCCATTAACAGAAATACCCTGGCACTCTGTCTTTGAAAAATAAACTCAAGGTAAAGGTTTTCATTGTTTCTGTGGGTTTTCTTTTTAATCTCCCATGGTTGTATAATATTGTTCTTCTAAAATGAAGTAGAATCTAGTGATTACGGAACTATATACCTTTCACGTTTGCCCTTTTGGGAGCAAAATGCTGATATCCTCAGGGGTGAGAGCTGTTGGAGAGAGCAAATCAATGTCACTGTGTGCACAGCTGAGGGCTCTTCCCACCCAGAGCCTGCGAAGAGACTGACTAGGTGTGTAGCAAGCTGTGCATGTGTTTTGGTGAACTAGGGGGTCCCTTCCTTGAATCTTGCCCTCGGGTCAAATTTGTCTTTCACTTTGGAGCTTAGGAAACCACTGTTGCTTCAAGCAGTAGAAATAATATTGGATGCTCAAGTCAGAAGATGAGTCTTGATCGATTAGAATTATTTGAAGCCTATCTTGCAATCGTGAACCGGGACGTTCCGGAGCAGGGATTGACAAGATTTTTCTGCGAAGGGCCTAACGGTAGATATTTTTGGCTTTGAAAGATGTAGCCTACTCAGCATTGCTGTAGTCACCTCAAAGCAGTCACAATTCTCAGTACATGCGAGTGGCTGTGTTCCAATAAAACTTTATTTACGAACACGGGGTGCAGACTGAATTTGGCCCCCAGGTTGTCGTTTGCCAATCTCCATTCTGGTGGGAGACTTAGGAATGAGAATAAAGGATAGCCCAGAGAACATTACTGGGTTTCTCTCAGCCTCAGTTTTCTCGTCCGTTACAATGGAGCTCAGCAAGCCCAGATGATAGGATTCCCACGAGGGTCAGATTGGAAATGGAAAGGAAAGTGCTGCCTAAGCTGTTACCATGGCAGTCAGTGAGTGAACAAACAAATAAATGATTGCAATCATGTTATCTGCTTTGTAGTAAGAGGTTATGTGCAAAATGAATTTTTTAATTAAAATACCCTTAATGAAAGGAAAATGTGCTTTAAAAAATCGATATTGATTTGCTCATTTAGCAAGCGGCTATTGAGCATCTGTGTTGGGCACTCTGGATGAGGCTTTGGGGACACAGCTGTGAGGAAGGCAGGCGAGGTTCCTGTGCTTCCAGGACAGAGGGTCTGCGGGGAGGAGAAAGGCAGTGAAGGACGAGATGACTCCAGCCAGCCAGGGGTGCTGCAGAAAAGGGGAGTGGGTGCGGTGGCAGAGTGAGCCGGGGGTCTCCCCCAGACAGTGTGTGAGGGGGCTTCTCTAGGAGAGATTTAGAAGGAGCAGAAGTGTGAACTCTCGGGGACATGCACATTGCACAGGCTGGAGGGGACAGCAAGTGCCTTGGAAGAACAAGCTCGGCATGTAGTGCAGGTGAACGGAGACGGATAGGATGGGGCTCAGTGACAAGCAGGGTGGCCATGATGGGCCAGAGGGCAGAGGGATAGGCAGGGACAGGGACTGAGAACAGGAGGAGCCTCGGGAGCTGTGAGCAAGCAGGGAAGGGACATGAAGGCCTTTGTAGTTTTCAAAGGGCAGCCCAAGGCTGGCTACCTCAGGGACCCTGACAGTCAGAAGTGTTGAGACCTGTTAGAGGACCCTGCAGCCTCTGGCAAGACCCTGGACTCAGGTGGTTGTATGCGAGGTGGAGAGACAGGGTTGGCTTCAGGAAGGGTCCTGGCAATGAAGTTTCTGGGACTTGCCGTGGTCCATGGGATTCTCAGCAGGTGCAGGAAGAGGCAGCGGCTGTGCCCTGGGTTCCGTGAGGTCTACTCGCTTCTTTCCTTGAGGGGTATCAGCCCAGGGACCCTCACAGAAGACTTGAGAGATGCAGATCACTGTCGTACGAGGGGTTCCGGTTAATTGTTATTGGGTAGCACAGAGTCAGGCGAGCCCTCGCTGAAGCCATCAGGAACTCCTCCTGTCTTTCCTCGGTCTGAGTCGGGACTGCTGGAGGCCCTGACCATCCCCCACGAACAAGAAGAAACCCCGCGCTTGGGGCTCATGACACCTCCCAGAAATGTATCTTTATGGAGGTCTTTGAAACCTGGTTATTTTAGCTCTCGGGACAGATCCTAGAAAGGATCCTAGAAAGTGTCGTCTTGTGGATGACATTTTATATTCAATAATTAGTTTTTTTGTTTTTGTTTTCGAGATAAGGTCTCACTCTGTCACCCAGGCTGTAGTACAGTGGCACAATCATAGCTCACTGCAGCCTTGACCTCCTGGGCTCAAGCAATCCTCCTGCCTCCACCTCCCAAGTACGTGGGACTACAGGCGCGCACCACCATACCTGGCTAAGTTTTCATTTTTGGTAGAGACAGGGATCTCGCTGTGTTGCCCAGGCTGGTCTCAAACTCCTGAGCTCAAGCAATCCTCTTGCCTCAGCCTCCTAAAGTACTGGAAATATAGGTGTGGGCTACCTTTCATGTAAAGAACAAAAGCAATCTTTTGGCTGATCTAAATAAATGCCTCTGCTCTCTTTAACATTCATCTGAAACTGTTCTTCCTGGGCCCTTGCACCTTCCCACTTGTGTGTCTATTACATCGTGATGCTGTATTTTCTCTCCAGGGTGTAAACAAAGATAGGTAACTCCTGGGAGACGAACAGTGGAGGGCTGCCGTCCCTCCTGAACAGCGTTCCTTTCGTATTACTACAGTTATCTCTGTGACTGGTTCTCTGAAGCCCGTGCAGTATCCTCCGCCAGGCTGGTGTGAGCATCTCAGGGGAACGAGGCCCTCATCATTTCATTAACTCTTCTTCTCAGATATTGCTCCAGTGTTCACCCAGCGGCCAACAGACACCACGGTTACCGATGGGATGACAGCCATTCTAAGGTGTGAGGTGTCCGGGGCTCCCAAACCCGCCATCACCTGGAAAAGAGGTGGGTAGCATCCACCACCCACAACTGCACGGCCCATGTAGAACATAACCTATCAGGCCAGGGCTTGCTTCTTACTCACTCTCTTGTTTATTCATTTATGGGTTCACTCAATGAAGATTCAATAACCTCTTACAGCAGCAGTCCCCAACCTTTTTGGTTCCAGGGACCAGTTTCTTGGAAGAGAATTTCTCCATGGTCTCTGGTGGTCTCAGGATGAAACTGTTCCATCTCAGATCATTAGATTCTTCTAGGGAGTGTGCACCCTAGAGCCGTGGCACGTACAGTTCACTGGAGGGTGTGCGCTCCTGTGAGAATCTAATGGCGCTGCCGAACTGACAGGAGGAGGAGCTCAGGCAGTCGTGCTCGGTGGCCACCGCTCACCTCCTGCTGCGCAGCCCGGTTCCAAACAGGTCTGCGGCCCAGGGCTTGGGGACCCCTGATTTACAGAATGCCCACCAGGTGCAAGATACCGTGGGCACAAGGATAAATAGGACAGACAAGATCCCTGCCTTCTAGAAAGGGAAACACACATTAGAAAGAGAGAAGAATTGTGCATATGTCGCTCTTCACTACCCGTGCCCTTCAGAGAGTGCCTCAGGCCTCCTCGGGCCTTCCCGCATCAAGCACTGGATGTGAAATCACTCTGCTAGCACTTACTTCTCCCACTGTGAAGTGGAGCTCTTCCTTATGACGTTCAGAATTAAGGATCACTGTTTTGTTGAAGAAAGATGCTTCCAGGGCCACATCGTTCCATGCCCTCCCCCGTCAACCTGGGACGCTGCAGCCCACTGTGGGTTCAGTTTCTGGGAAGGCTGCCTTTGCAGTTCCCATAGCCCCTTCCACGAGGGCCACTGAAAGAACAGCACACACAGTCCATCCTGAACAAGTCTGTGCTGAGTCTTGTTGATTCACACGGATGAGCTCCTCATACTTGCTGGCCTGTATCGGGCTGACGTGCCAAAAGCCTTATCTTTCTCTTCCTGCTGGAAAACCGCATGGCAGCTTCTCGAGTCTCAGAGGCACAATCCCGGCACTCAGACACGGCTGCTGAAGATCTGGGACACTACAGATCAATAACAGGGCTGGGCTCTTACTGTCTCTTGTTTTCCTGCCTAATTTTGAACATCATAGCTTTATATAAAAATGTTTCAAATACATGCAGATATAAAGAAAACTAAAAACCGGTCACCCAAAAATAGCAATCGCATTCATGGATCGTAGTTTGTTTAACCAAATCTCTCAATATTGAGCAAGTAGGATGTTCTTGGTTTTTGTTATTCTAAACAGTGCTAGCAGATACCGCTTCAGTTATTTCTTTGCATACAATTTTCACTTTATTCTGATTATTTCCTTAAGTTATTTCTTTGTTGTATTAGTCCGATCTCACACTGATATAAAGACATACCTGAGGCTGGGCAATTTACAAAGAAAAGAGGTTGAATTGAGTCACAGTTCTGCATAGCTGGGGAGGCCTCAGGAAATCATAGTGGAAGGTGAAGAGGGAGTAGGCTCATCTCACGTGGCTGCAGGACAGAGAAGGAGCAAAGGGGGAAGTGCCAAACACCTTTAAGCCATCAGATCTCATGAGAACTCCCTTGCTATCAGGAGAACATCGTGGGGGAACCACCCTCAGGATCCAGTCACCTCCCACCAGATTCCTTCCCCGACGTGTGGGGATTACAATTCAAGATGGGACCTGGCTGGGGACACAGAGCCGAGCCATGTTACTTGTTTATGGCTCTAACCACTATCTTCCTTTCCTTCCAGTGTTATGACTGTAACATGCCTCTTTTCTCTACTGTTCTTCAGAAAACCACATTCTGGCCAGTGGCTCTGTCCGGATTCCTAGGTTCATGCTTCTTGAATCGGGGGGTCTACAGATCGCACCCGTCTTCATCCAGGATGCCGGCAACTACACCTGCTATGCGGCCAACACGGAGGGCTCCCTGAACGCATCGGCCACGCTCACCGTGTGGAGTAAGGAGCAGCCCTCACACGTCAGCCTTTTATTAGCCACGGTTTAATCATCGTGTCGTCATGTGCTTCGGGGATGTCAACATGCCCTTGGGCTTGCTAATTTAATCAAAAGAGAATGATTATTTTTACAACTAGTTTATAGAAATCTGTTGAGAAATGAAATTTTCAGCGTCTAAAAGAATAATTAGAAAATGTATTCAGATGTAATGGGGACATTGCAGGAGAGATAAAAGATTGACTTCTTAAAGTCAGTGGAGATACTACACAAAACTAGCTCAAATCACAAAACTGATGTGTTGGTTAATTTTGTAAGCAATTTATAAGACAATTAAGAATTAAAATCCTAAAGAAGGAATATTTTGCCATACAATTATTATGAAAAACTAAAACACTTCTAATATATTAACTATCAGTGTTTCTTGTATATTAGGAGTGAACTGAAAGGAAAATCTTCATTGTTTCTCCAGCTTTTGCCCTTTTTTTAATCAACGAGACATGTTTTGGAAATGCAGAGTAGTTTTCTGGAGCTTAAACATTGGACCAAATGGCCCCCCATTGCCACTTTTTAGCTTCAGTTGCCAATATACTTTCTCCTCTCTGTCTCGTCTCAATCTGTACTACTAAAAGCTCATTATTTAAAAAGCAAAAGAGCGCTCACTCACAGATTTTTACAAAGCTATCTACATGAGGAGAGAAAGTTTTAACTTGCTTGAGGGAGTAATTTGTTAAAATGCCATTCTTCCAGAAAAAGTAAATCATTGTGCTTTATTTCATATTTGTCTAGCATTTTCTATCATATAGTTGGTGTCCACTTTGATAAACAACTCTTTCTAATTTGTTAAGTGTTCTAAAATGATCATGAGTTTCAAGGAAATTAATCCAAGTTCCCACTATGCTGTCAAGTAGTAAAAAGCAGCTTTTGTTCCATTTGGTGGATGACTCTCTCAATCACTTCGTTCATTATATATCCCTAAATAGTAACCATACATTTAACCCATTTATGCCTGAGGTTGCAGTTTTGTGAACTTTTGCAATCAGAACTGAAGCAATGGCCTTGAGCAGTAGGATATTAAAAAGCTTACGAAAAAGTGGCATCTGAATCTCCGTAGATCATTCACCAGAAAATTTTGTGGATCGCTGAGATTCAACATTATAATGACACTAGCCTGACTGGGATAACACTTTGTTGGCTTTACAGAACATTTTCACACACTCTGCCCACTTTAATCTGTACAACTATTAGTGATGTTAGCATTCCCTTCCATATCCAGGAAAACTAAGATGCAGAGATGTATTTCTGGACTCATCATTAGCAGAGGTCAGGCTTGGCCTCCAACTTAGCCTCCTGACTCCCAGGTTCTAGGCTCTGTTCCTGGAAGCAGAGCAGGTCCCCCTTAGAGGTATGGGTGCAAACAGTGACGCATCGCACGGGCAAGCTGCAGGTCCCCACCCCGTACTGGCTTGCGGGAGGTGGGCAAGTCACTGCATCTCTGAGCGTCCGTCTTCTTTCCTGAAAGCTGAGAGCAGTAATATGACAGCCCTCACAAGAGTGTCTGGAGGAATAAATACAACAACTTAAACAAAAGCATTTGGCAGACTCACAACGTGCCACACAGACGCTAGAAATGACTAGAGTGATGGTCATCTAGGAAGAGAATCTAAGTTTTATTTTAGCGCCTAGAACCTCATCCACACCTGCATGGGATGGTCGGTGTTCATTTACTTCCATGGTGTTTGAGGTTAAAGGTGATTTAGGAGAGGGGGGTGGGTTGACAGACTTTGCTGCAGTGGTTGACTTTTTTGCTTGTTGTTAACTCCCCTAGCATTTCTGAGAACGATCCATTTACCCTCACTCTGCCAAGATGAGAGAAAACTTGGAGGTTGTGATGTCAGATGACCAGGGCATTATCCCCGCGAGGGCAGAAACTCTCACACTTGTCATGTCGTCTGACTCGGGACTTGTGTTTTTTCAGATCGGACATCTATCGTCCACCCTCCTGAGGACCACGTGGTGATTAAGGGGACCACGGCTACGCTGCACTGTGGAGCCACGCACGACCCCCGGGTTTCCCTCCGGTGAGCACAATCAGTTACAATGCTTTGGGGCTTGTTGATATTCTGTGAGTTTCTGAAGTGAAGTCGAAAAGAGGAAGAAGAATTGGGGGAACTTTGATTTCAGCGGCAGGTCCCTGATTATGGCATCTTCTGGTTGTGGGCGCCATCATTAATCACACAAATCCCATTTTCCACTCCAGCCTTATGTATTATTTACAGTGAGCTATGTTCCACTTCATGACTTTAATGCTGCTTTTCATGATTTCTTCCTACCAAGGTTAATACACTGTCTGTAAAACGTACTTGTCAGAGGCTGATACTCAGTGAGAGAAAAATCCAGAGGGATCGACTAGGATTCAGCAGTGTTTACATGGGGGCTGTGCCGCTCCCTGCGGGGGGAGTTATTTACTCTCCGGATAATTTCATTGTGAAATGGCGGGGAGGGAGGCCTGTGCATGGGACAAAGGCAGCCACAACCCCCAGCGCACTCATGGGAAGGTACATGTCAAGAAGGAGACCAGATGTGAGGGTTCTCTTTTTTTTTTTTTTTTTTTTTTTTTGAGACAGACCCTCGCTCTGTCGCCCAGGCTGGAGTGCAGTGGCACGACCTCAGCTCACTGCGAGCTCCGACTCCTGGGCTCACACCATTCTCCTGCCTCAGCCTCCTGGGTAGCTGGGACTGCAGGCACCCGTCACCACGCCTGGCTAATTTTTTGTATTTTTAGTAGAGATGGGGTTTCACCGTGTTAGCCAGGATGGTCTCGATCTCCTGACCTCGTGATCCGCCCGCCTCAGCCTCCCAAAGTGCTGAGATTACAGGCGTGAGCCACCGCGCCCGGCCAAGGGTTCTCTAAAGGAATGCTGATATCCCGTCTTTGTTTGAATTCAGGTCAGGAAAGTAACTGTGCAAAATATGAGACTCCAGGTGAAGTTGTGGCAGCAGACAGGTGGGCGCCAATGGGGAGCTGTTCCCTGAAGAGCAGCCACCTTCGGAATAGTTTTAAATGTTTGGAATCAGCCTTGAAAGTAAAAAAAGAAAAATCCAGTCATCAGAGTATTTCCACTCCAGCCTTACCCCAGAAGGGGCACAGTGCGTGAGTCGAATGGGCAGACTCAAGACGCCCTCCTACTTTCTGGGGCCCCTCACCCAGAGCAGAGGGGACGGCTGTGGGTGCACGGTCAGCAGCAGGACGCGGAGACTCCGCGGCTGTTGTCTCACGCTTCTAGCGGGCCTTTGGCCAATTGTAAATTTCCATGTCTCCACCCAACTCCCTGGGGTTTCCCAGGGCTCAGAATCCAAATTTGGTTTAGGTACCAGGGTGCCGAATGTAAAACAAAACAAACAAACAAAAACTAGCAAGTGAAAGATGACCTAGAACACCCCCGCCCCCCCACCCTGTGGCTGCCCTGGAGACGGTCGGTCGTCAGGCCTGGGAAAGAGCTCCTTCGTAAATGATTTGGAGTATGACTTCGAGGAAGTCTGCTTTCTGCTACTCTGACGGCTCAAAAAGAACCCCCTCGGATCTCTGTGGTTTCCCCGTAGCTTGTTATATGTGATTAAATTGGAGGCCCCTTCCTGAGATGGAACTGGGTTACTCGCTCTCAGGGCGCCCCTCATCCCAGGGTTGCTCTGCCCTGAGGAGCGCCAGGCCCTAAGTGGCCATTCCAGCCGGATGCGGTGCCCCGGGGTGAGCAATCTGTCCATCTCCGTCTTGTGGAATCGGCCCTGTTCTATCTCAGGGTAATTGCTGATAAGAGTAGTTTGTAAATGTCGGTGCTTATGAATATGAAGGCTTTAAAGAACTGGGCACATTTTGAAAATCCGATCACATTATTGTGGAAAAGAAAAACAGCACTTTCATTCCATATAGCAATGAGTGCTGCCCCTGCCCGTGGTCATCTAAAGACTGGGCAGCCTCTCAGTTGATTCTGTATTTGAAAAGAAAAATGTGCTCAAATTGCTACAGATAGATTAAATGAGAAAGAAATGCAATTTTAAGGACCATCTGCCAGAATGGTCAAATTTTAAGAAAATATGTTTTTGAAGTGTGTTTTTTTTTTTCCATGAGTCGAGCAATTCCACTCTGCAGTTTTTTTTAAATAGTCGTTGCCTCCTGTCCAGACAATACTCTTGTCCTCCAGGAGCATTACCGGTGCAGGAATGTTGAGTGCCGTTTTCATAGGTGACAGGTATGCCCATGGTTCTACAGACTTCTCATCTCTAGAACACAAGATCAGTCAGGCAGGGGCAGTCATTTTCATTGCTCTGTTTTTAACCTCAGCATCTGTTTGTGTATTATGACCAAGATATCTGGTTGCTTTTCTTTTTTATTATTATATTTTGGTTTAATTCACATGCCATAAAATTCACTCTTTTTTTTTTTTTTTTTTTTTTTGAGACAGAGTCTTGCTCTGTCACCCAGGCTGGAGTGCAGTGGCTGGATCTCAGCTCACTGCAAGCTCCTCCTCTCGGGTTCACGCCATTCTCCTGCCTCAGCCTCCCAAGTAGCTGGGACTACAGGCACCCACCACCTCGCCTGGCTAGTTTTTTGTATTTTTTTTAGTATAGACGGGGTTTCACCGTGTTAGCCAGAATGGTCTCGATCTCCTGACCTCGTGATCTGCCCGTCTCGGCCTCCCAAAAAATTCACTCTTTTAGGCCAAGTGCAGTGACTCAGACCTGTAATCCCAGCACTTTGGGAGGCCGAGGCGGGCAGATCCCTTGAGGCCAGGAGTTCAAGACCAGCCTGGGCCACGTGGCAAAACCTCATCTCTACTAAAAATATAAAAAAAAAATTAGCCGAGCATGGTGGCACACACCTGTGGTCCCAGCTACTCAGGAGGCTGAGGCACAAGAATTGCTTGAACAGGAGGTAGAGGCTACAGTGAGCCAAGAGCGTGCCACTGCACTCCAGTCTGGGCCACACAGCAAGACTCTGTCTCAAATAACAAAAACAAAAAAAGCAAAACAAAACAAAAAGCAAAGAAAAATCACTCTTTTAAAGAGCACAATTCAGTGGTTTGTAAAGTGCATTCACAAGATTGTTAGTTGCTTGCTTTTTAAGAGACAGGGAAGGACCAGTGATTCTGTCCCTGTGGGGTTTGTAACTCAAGACCCTTTGCTTGGCCCACAGCTACGTTTGGAAGAAGGACAACGTGGCCCTGACTCCATCGAGCACATCTAGGATCGTGGTGGAGAAGGACGGGTCCCTTCTCATCAGCCAGACGTGGTCGGGTGACATCGGTGATTACACCTGCGAGATTGTTTCTGAAGGCGGGAACGATTCTAGGATGGCCCGGCTGGAAGTAATGTGAGTACTGAGATGCCTGGTATTAGTCAGTTCCCAGTTATCTCGTTACTGCACCCCTGTCAGTGACTGCCACTTCACACGTGTCACACCTGTCTTGTGTCCCAAGTCAGCGGTCAGAGGCCAGTGCGTCATGCTACGTAGCTATGGATATGGACAAGGTTTTTCTGTAGTTTCTTTAAACTTCAGAATTGAGAAGTTTTGTTTTTGGTGTAGGTGGTGTGATCATTGGTTCTTATCCCCGTGGATCCTTTTTGTCATATTTTTCCTGTGGACACCTTATCCTGATAGGCCCTGTTTACCACTCTGCGCTTAAGTAGCAAGTTCATTTTTCCACGTAATGCCCTTGAGAGCTTCCAATCCGTGAGAGATGCTGGGGTGGAACCGCTGAGGTGAGGTCATTCCCATGAAAGCCACCTGGACTTGGGGTTTCAGTGAGTCCCAGCTGCCTCTCCATGGGTAAATACTTTCCATTAAGTCTTGTGAAATCCTGAAAACAGAAAGCAACCGCCCATTACTTCCAATCTGGACCTTCCTGGGGGATCCGAAGAGCTCAGGTGGGAACCGTCAATCTCCTCTGTCTCTGCTGTCTCTCATCCTCCACTCCCCTCTCTATTTATGGAGCAGAAATACCTGCTGACACATTCTATTTTTCTGACATGTATTTATTTGCTTTTTAAAAGCACTACTCTCTCAATATTCCCTGAGTGCCTGAGTACGAAAATAAAACCTGAAAATAAAAAATCCCAACCGAGCACTCGTCAGGGCAGCGGCCAACTCCGGGGGCACACCCAGCCCATCCGTCCCTGGCCACCGTTTGACGTGCTGGGCCATTCGACAAAGGCAATCTTAGATGTTCCTCATTGGACCCTGCCCCCTTTGATCCAGGAAAGATTCCGTATACGAAATCATTGCCTAAAAATAGAATTTGAACACTCTGAGTATAGGAGCCCTGTCTCATTGATCCCTGAATCCCGAGACTCCAGCTGAGGGGATTAAAAATGAAAAGAATGCTTGCTAAGTGCCGAGCATGTGGCTTCTGTGTCTGCCACAGGCATGTGGAAATGAGTGGAACTCACCAACAGCTTTCCTCCAGCCCCTATTTGTGGATGTAAAAGGTTCACGATGTGTAGCAGCCAGTCTAGAAGGCCCTGTGGTGCCATCCATTCCTGAAAAAAAAATCCCATCCCACCTCCTGTTCTGTCTCCTTTCAGGATGACCCCTTGTTCTCTTTAGACAGCAGAGGTCATTCTGGTTAGTCGTGAAGCAGCAGGAGTCCCCATGGCTCTACAGAATCAGCCGTCGGCGGTGGGGTGAGGGTCCTGGTGCTGCAGCTGCAAGCCTGGCACACAGAGGGTCCTCCACAGAATCACTGAGGGTCCAGGGCTGCGGCTGCAAGCCTGCCACACAGAGGGTCCCGGGCTGCGGCTGCAAGCCTGCCACACAGGGTGTCCTCCAGAGAATCACTGAGGGTCCAGGGCTGCGGCTGCAAGCCTGCCACACAGAGGGTCCTCCACAGAATCACTGAGGGTCCAGGGCTGCGGCTGCAAGCCTGCCACACAGAGGGTCATCCACAGAATCACTGAGGGTCCAGGGCTGCGGCTGCAAGCCTGCCACACAGAGGGTCCTCCACAGAATCACTGAGGGTCCCGGGCTGCAGCTGCAAGCCTGCCACACAGAGGGTCCTCCAGAGAATCACTGAGGGTCCAGGGCTGCAGCTGCAAGCCTGCCACACAGAGGGTCCTCCAGAGAATCACTGAGGGTCCAGGGCTGCAGCTGCAAGTCTGCCACACAGAGGGTCCTCCAGCTTTTGTGTACACACGGGGCAGGCTGGTCTCCCCCAGCCCCTGCCTTCAGGCATTGGAGCCTACATCCCTGGGCTCTTTCTGCCCTTCATGAGCCCCAGCCATCCACTGCCCCTGCGGCTGGGTGCCCGTCATCCGTGGGCTTCCCCAGAGGTTTCCTAATCATGCACCCCTTAGCATTCAGCCGCAGTAGCACTTCCTGCTGTTCAGTTACCAGGATGCTGCCTGCAGTTCTTCCCTGCGCACAGCTCATCCTCCTGGTAGCCCTGATCATGCTGCAGAGGACGAACATGTCTTCATGGCTCCCTCTCCTCCTGGCACAGAAGCACCTTGGAGGCACTGTTTTGAATTTTGAGTGCCTGACGTAGTGTTTGGTATATAACAGGTGTTAATAAATGTATTTTGGTTGGTTGTTGCCTTCCTGCATGCATGAAGGAATGAATGAATGTGTGGATGTCTCCGCCCATTGGCAGGCCTCCTTCTGTTCCCCACTCTTACCTTGATGCTCACATGCCCTGGTTTCCCCACCATGGGTAAACAAGCAAGCTCATGTCACTCTACCAAAACCCAGACAACAGGTACCCAAAGCCCTCATCCAGCCCTGCTCCTGCCTCTTTCCTCCTCCCTTTCGGATCTCAGGCTGAGGATTTTTTTTTTTTTTTTTCATTTTGATAATATAGGAGGATATGGCCAGTGAGTTCCTAGGAGCTGTTGTACTATGCACATTTTTAAAACTACCTTTGAGAACCTTAGATCATCCATCGTTGGTATCAAATAAATACGTGTTAGCAGTTCATAAAGACTCTGTCAGCAGAAGCCAAATTGCATACTTCCAATATAGCCCATTCTTTTTATTCTGCACAATTTTATGTTCTACTGATTTACATATCTTCCCTACTATTTGCTTATTTGATTTCCTCTAAGTAAAATACATTTTTCAGCAAATGTTGCTGTATGTATAAAATAATAGGCTTTCTGTAATGGTAAACCATCTCATCTCTAAATATAGAAATCTCTGCAAATTTGTGATTCAAACCAATTTAAGTACAAACTGGTTACAGAACTGATTTGGAAGACAGTTGTTCCTCGTGAATTGTTAGTGTCATGAAGGGCTCCTCTATCCCAAACCTGGATGAATTGGTAAAGGTGTTCCTTCATGGTGTTTCTTTAGATCCAACAGGGCTTGACTCTACAGCAATGGCAATAGAATGATAACAATAATAACCCATAATTGCAGGGCATTCTGTCCTTCTCAGGTAACTTTCAAACTGAGCTCTGTAATGTTTCCATCATTTACTCAGATAACCAAAAAAAAAAAAAAGAAGAAGAAAAAAATCTCATACTGCTGAAGGGAAGGGACTGAGAGGTACTTATGGCTAAACAATGTCCTTCAGAGGAGCCTGAAAGCCTGTTTTCTCCTTGCCTCTCCACTTCAGTTAAAAGCTGCTTTGTTAAATATAGAAATTAGGAGCCTTAGAAGTGAGCTTTCAAAAATAGACCAGCCGTTGGCCTCTTCTCACGTCTGTTTGCCCTGTGTTTTACACTTCATCACTAAGCTTCACCTCATTAAGGCTGAGTGAAGGGGCGGCCCCCGCACCCACCTCACACCCGGAACAGTCCTGGTGGGGCTGCTGGCCAGCAGTGGGGCCAACAGGAGCAAGGGATGGCCCAGGAGGCCCTGCCTGCCTTTCACTACTTGTGTGACTTTGGAAAAATCACCTCACTTCTCAGCCTCGGCCTCTCACCTTGTAGACTGGGTGTGGTATCATTCATCTCAAAGGATGGCTGTGAGGGTGGCATCCACCCGGGGTTTGTAAGATCCTGGTGTGGAAGCCAGCTGGGGAGGGATGCTCTAAGTTACAGCTCTTTGTGCTTTCTTACCATTTTATACAAGAATGCTGTTTTCCCCTTTCCTAACAGCACCCTGCCTCTGGGGCTGGGAACTTTCTAGCCCTTTACCCTGCATTATTCTGACCACATTCTATGACCTTCTGACATCGATTCGAGATGTGTCTGTTTGCTGTTGAGTCCTCAATGCCTGGACCAGTGCCAGGTATACAGTAGGAACCTAGTAAATGTCTGGGTAAGCCTCTCTCCACTTACTGAGCTGAAATGAGATGGTGTCTTTTGCCTTACTGAGGAGGACCAATTTAGGAGGGCTCTGCCTTCATCCCCCCCGAGAGAAGAGGCTTCTAAAACTCCAGATGGTTCCATGAGGCAGCCTGTAAATTAACCACAAAAGTCATCATTAAATGCTGGTCACCCCTTGTTTTAGTAGCGTCTTTCCTCTAGTTTTCCAGTGCCGTGGGGACAGGACCCGGTTTCTGCGATGACTTCATATTCCCCAAAGCATCTTCCTGTATTGAGCACACCAGAGGGACCAGGCTCCTAAGGCCTTATGGATTGATTAATTGTTAAATCATTTAAAGACCCAATTAGCATTTCATCTCTCCTCCTGAAATCAGAGACTAATTCTCATGAGCCTGGAGAAAACCCAATTTACGGAGCTGACTCGGAGGCCCTCAGGCAGTGAGAGAGGTTGCTTTCTATAAAACCACTTCTGCCAAAGCCATCATAAGGAGTGAAGAATTTAATACTGTTTCCCTCAGAGTTATCAAGCCCCGTCATCTTCATCCTCAGAGTGAAGTCAAAGAAGATGGGTTTGACCAAGTCATCATTTGCGCATTAAAGGGCCAAGGCTTTCTATATAGAAAAAAAGTACTTATCTGATCCTCTTCTGCCAGAGCAATTACCCCCTACAGCCACAATTCCACCAATTGCTTTCTTTCAAGTCTTTTTTCAAAACTGTTTTTCTCACACACACCTCGCTTCATCTCTCTCTCGTACAGTTGGGTTTCTGTTACTGTTGTTGTTAATTTCTGATATTCCTGAGGTGTCCTGTGCCTGACGGTGGTTTTCCCCCTATTCTCTTTAAATTACAAAGTGACTCAGCACTGGGCTTCGCTTCCATTGTTCTCTGGGACCTCTTCCATTTATCAGCCTGTGCGCTTATCACTGTCTGTGAGTCACTCCGCTGATCATTTATCTCCTTTCAAAGTTGGCAGAGTAATGCTTCGACGCAATCTATCCCCATTAGATAAGATTTTCTGAAATGGATTCAGAATATATTAAAGCCTCATTTATCTGTTATTGATGGGTTAGTCAAGGGTCTCACAAAGGTTCATTTTCTAAATAACC